TGAGACAAGTCATCAAAAGGACCATGTCTCTAAATAGGGTTCAGGTTCTGCCTCAGAAGGTAGACCCTTTGCTAAGAATCCCCAAGTGAGGGGCTGGGAGTGTGCCAAGGAGGCAGAGAGAGTATCAGGAAAGTTTTGTTAGCTTTAAGGGAAACAGGCCCAGGAGGAGTGTTCCCGGTGAGGGCCACACAGGGAGGCCGCGTTGTGAACTTTGTAGAGCTTCACTGGAGATGAAAAAGTGGCCTCAGCGGGGTTCTGATCAGGGCTGACTGTCCTGTTATGGTGGTGGCTGCTATAGAGCCAGGACCCGATTAGGCACTAGATCTGGCTTTCCAGGGCTCCTGAAGGAGGTGGACACTAGCTTTAGCATCGTCTGTGGTCTTTTTTCCCTATCCTGGTAGATGGGATATCTCTTCCTGCGGTTGGAAGGAGACCCCATCCAGTCATTGTCACTCAATCCCATATCTTGTCCTGCCCCTCCCCTTGCAGATGTTGAGGTGGGGATGGCAGGCTGCAAGGACAAGAGAGAACATGTGTTCTGTGCGTGCTGATGTCAACCTTCCTGGAGGGTACCTGCACAGCCCCTGGACAATATATGGGCCAGGACAGTGTGGCCTTACCTCGCTGAAATCAGCCCATAGACCTGGGGATCCCAAAGCTGGACTGACTTGTGCTGCTCTGTCATCCTGCCTCCCACAAGGGACAAGGCAGTCCTACAAGGCATGATGGAGCAATTGGACCTTGGGATCTCGATGTGTATCTTCCTGCTGCTTTGAGGACAATAAATGAAACAGTGGCTTTATAGCTAACCTGAAGGCTCCCCCTTGACTCTACACCAAGGTGTCCTGGCCAAGTGAATGAGGGTTGTTCTTCCTGGCTACCTGGGACAAGGCCCTTCCTGTTGAGGTCACTGTCCCTAGAGAGACCTATTCATTTCTCAGACTTGTTCTAAGGCTACAGCTGTGGCACTCTGCCTCAGTATATTGGCACCTGGGCCAGAGTTTCCCCGGAGCTTCTGGGCTGCAGTTCAATATTAGCCATTCACCCTCACTCTATGATCTTAGCTTTGGGGAAGAGGGACAGGGATGCCCAAGTCACTTGCAGCCTGAGGTCACAGCCTCAGTCTTCCTAGGTGACTGCTCAGTCTATTCTGCTTGTCATAACAAGTTACCACCAGGTGGCAGTCACGTCACACACCAAGTAGCCTCCCAAGACCACACCAGTTACTCTGGGAACAAGTCCTCTCTAGAACCCTTCAACCTTCCTGTCCTCCTGGGTGGCCTGAATTCATTGTCCAGATCCTGTCCTGTGAAAACCAGTGTTCGTCCACTTCCAGACCCCACTGACCCTCCAGCTGGCCTGAGTCAGGTCCCTGAGACTGGCTGCCTGCGCCTACTAGGAGTGTTGGTGTCAGGCTGGGTGGCCACCCATTTTTATCCTGTGGTCTGGATGGAGAGCCTAGCCAGAGCCCACTCCTGTCTGTCTCTGCCTGTCCCCTCCAGTAGCTGGGTCCCTGCTCAGCCCGGCCTGCTGCCCAAAGTCTCTGTGGTCTGCATACCCTAGCTGTACCCAGGGGAATCCAGAGATCCTGAGTCACAGCTCTGGGAGCACTCTCCATCTTTATATTGTGTCTGCTGGGATGGGCCTGGTCCTCCAAACACTGTGATCTGCTCCCCTGGTCCCACAGCTCAGCCATTGCTGGAGCTTCAAAAGGCAGGGTGATTAGTCTAATGAGGTCAGGAGAGACCCAAGCCCCTGCCCCAGCCTCTGCTTGAGCATAGGGAGGGTGGCCCCACCACACCATCAGCCTGTCAGCAGTCACCGCTCCCTGGAATTAGCATGGATAATTGGCAGTTCCGTCAAGGTTAATGCACTGTTAGCCTGCGCTCTGCACAGCTGGGTCCTGGCCTGCCTGTGTGTGCATTCGGTGTGAGTGTGCATGCCTGGGATGGCTCCCAGCACCAGATGAACAACAGGGTTTGGTTGCTTGAACTCAAGACACCATTGCCACTTGTACCCATCCTAAATCTGAGTCCTGTCCTGGCAGAAAAGCATGGCAGGTAAAGCTGCTTGCTGCATGGTCAAAGGAGAGCACTGACTCCTGTAAGTTGGCTTCTGACTGCTCTACCACAATATGCAAAAAATAAAACCCCGGTCTAGAGAGCGAGTTCCAGGACAATACAGAGAGACCCTGTCTTGAAAAACCAAAAAAAGAAAGAAAAAAGAAAAACCAAGCCCTCTCCTGCTGTCCCCAATCCTGGATGTGGGCAAACCAGGCTCCTCAGTGGAGCCCCACCCTAGGTAACCCTCAGCTGTTCCACTGAGGACATGGGGGCAGTTGGATGTCGATGACAATTGCATCTCCCAGGGAAGTCACAGTTGATGGCTGTGACCCCCCCCCTTGCATACAGTTCACCCAGGGGACAGCAGGCCAAGGTGCCCTGAGATCCTCAGTAGGTAGGGCTCAGGCTAGCATTGGTCTCTCCCCTAAGGGTTCTGGGCAGGTACATCTGTCTGCTGGAACTTAGACAGTCTCATAGGAAGCTTGGTTTGGGGATGGGCCAGGGCCTTGGGCATGAGAAGAGAGGAAGATGATGGGCAGGAGGAGGGAGGAGCTACAGGAGAATGCTCTGGGGTGGACAAGATATGGGAGGGTAGAGAACAGGGAGACACCAGAAGGAAGAAGAAAGAAAGAGGACGGCAGAGAAGAAGAGAAAGTAATCTGGGGTTATTCTTGCCAGCAACCCTAAGATTCTTATTTCTTTGGGACACAATGGGTGCCTATTGCTGCAGCTGGGCTGGCCACCCACCCTGTCCTTACTCTGCAGGTGGCCAGCTAGAAGGGGGTCACTCATGTGATCCTTATCCCACACCCCACCACATACACACACACACACACACACTACCCAGCCCTGCTCAGGCAGGCAATTTGGTATGATTTATTCTGTAATGAGAAATTCTTCTATGCATATTTTTAGCCTCCTGCCTGGCCATGTGGCCTTTGATGGCTGTGGGGCCGCCAGACAGTGAGATCAAGAACCTGAGACTTTGCCCTGTGTACCAGAGTGGCAGGTGGGTAGACCATGGGTGACCAGCCAGGGTTGCTGGGTGCAGACTAGATTGGGCCAGGGCCATTAAAGTGTAGATCAGATAGTAGGGTGGACCATGACCTGAGCACACAGCCCCAGGAGATGGATGAAGGACCCAGGTAGCTAGGACAGATCTCTCCACCCAAGATGTATCATACTGAACCCACCCCTGATTCTGGTGACCCCTGACCTTCACTGACGTTTATTCCCTATCAGGCCCCAACCTCCTACTGCCTCCAAAGCAGGGCCTGGTTTCCAGTGATCACCTACTGTGGACTGGGGCAGGCTGCTCAGGGAGGAGACAGGGCTTCAAGGCTCCCTGTCACTGTCATGGCCAGGCAGGGTTCCCTGGAACAACATCCCCTGCTCTCTCCTCATCAGGAGCGACCAGCAAGCTTGGGAGGTAGAGTGGGGGACAGCCAGCCGCCTTTGTTCCTGTCCCCGCTCCGGATCTGACCTTGAGACAACAGACAAGAACAGAAAGCTTTCTGCTCAAACCCACTGGCGGCAGGCAGCTCTCAACTCGGTGGCCCCAGCATGCAAATGAGGCCTGGGGATGTGGCCTCCTTGCTAGGTGTCCTTGTGACAGGCTCTATTAAGAACCCAATATCCAGTCTAGTGGATGGGACCCCATCTTGGCTCCTTCCCCATTCCAAGGTGGGTGCCCATGCCCCAATAGGGCAGCCTCCAGACTCTCACCTTTTTGGGCAGAAAATAGTTTGACATGTGGCTGACCCTGAGCTCTGCTGTGGGTGCCACCAGAGCCTGCCCTGGGGATCCCAGAACACCCTTGACAGATAAGTTCATGTCACTGAGCTAACCATGTCCTGAAGAGGGATAGGATGGGACAGGTCTACAGAGACAAGGATTCCAATGGTCAGATTTGTGGTGGGACTTCCAGGTCTGAGTGAAGATCTCATACCTGCCCCCTCCCGTGCGTGCGTGCGTGCGTGTGTGTGTGTGTGTGTGTGTGTGTGTCTGTGTGTGTGTCTGTGTGTGTGTATAAGATGGAGCTTGGAAACTTGTCACAGAAGGCACATATCTGAGTTCTGTACCATCCTGGCCTTGCTTGTCCCAAGTAAATAATATTGCCTGTCTTTAGAGTCCCCCCCCCCAGTCCATGCACAGAGGAACCTATTAGAATCTGTGTGCTCTGGGGTCCTGCACGCCTTGCTTTAGACCCTAGATGCAGCAAATAAATAAAAACCAAGTAAAATATCTTGCTAGTCCCCCAGGAACACCCTTTCTCCTGTGGTAGTAGGGGGGCAGTACCCAGAGTTCTGGAAGGGACTCCTAGGGGCCTCAGGGATGTATAGGCTGACCTCGAACTCTCTATGCAGCTGAGCATGACCTTGAATGTCATCAGATCCTTCTGCCTCAGCCTCCTGAGTGCTGAGAGAACAGATGTCTACCACCGCTGCTGGCCTACGACTTTTTTTTTTTTTTTTTTTTTTTTTTTGAGACAGGTCTCATTCTACAGCCTAGGCTGCCCTAGAACTCACAGCAATTCTCCTGCCTCAGCCTCCCGAGTGCTGAGATGCCAGGCGCGGCGCAGACTAACCCTTAGCTTCAATCCGAACAGGGAGGGGCCACAGAGGGTCCAGCACAGCACCCTGGGGGGTTCCCCTTCCCGATGTGGGTGGCTGGGGCGGGACCCTGGGGATCCGCGGCAGAGTCTGCGCGAATCTGGCCGGGGCGGGGCCCGGCTGAGGCTTGGAGGGTCCGGGGCGCGGCGGGAGGGGGCGCCCGCGACCCTCCAAGGCGCTCCAGCGGGGACAAAGACGAGGGGAGCCCCCGCGCCCGGGGAGCCCAGGAGAGCGCCTTGCGCACTGCACAGTCCGGGCCTCTGTCCCGCACCGTGACCGCCTCCCGCCGCCTGGTTTCTGGGCGCCCGCGGTCTCCGGCGGGGGTCGCGCGCAGAGGCGGGGCGGCGGGATCTCCAAGCGCGCGGTGCTCCGCCCGCTCGGCGGCGGAGGCGGAGGCGGAGACGGCGGGGCCAGGCGGCGGCCGGAGAGCGAGCGAGCGAGCGAGCGCGGCGGCAGCACCGGGGCCATGGCTCCCGCGCAGCGCCCGCTGCTGCCGCTGCTGCTACTGCTGCTGCCGCTGCGGGCGCGCAACGAGGATCCGGCCCGTGCCAACGCTGACCGCTACGCAGTCTACTGGAACCGCAGCAACCCCAGGTGAGCTCGGAGGGGGAACCCCCGGGGACCCCAAGAGGCCCCAGTCCTGGGGATTGTAGCGCACGGACCTCTCCCTGAACTTCAGGGGTGCCTAGTATTCCCTCCAGGGTTCCTGGACTTTAGGGGAAGCCCTTTGCACCCTTAGACGCTGGAGTTCTTTCGCTGGACTTGCACGGGGGAGACACCCTTGAACCCCTGGCCTCTTAGAGGGGGGAGCACCCTGGAAGGCTGAGGATTTGGTGGAGATCCCTGGGGACCACCCTTACACCGGGGGAGTTCCCAGACGCGGATCTTTTGGAAAAGGTTCCGAGAGTCCTGTCTGTGGGTCCCCAGATGAACTTGGGGGAAGTTGTAATGTCCCCTCTCTACCCCTCCATTTGCTCCAGGGGGTGCTCTAATTCCCCAGACACTTTAGAGGAACAGAGGGGCCCCCAGGCACCAAAGAGGCAGAGGTCAGTTTGAGGGGTGCAACCTGGGCATATCGTTTTCCACCTTTTTAGCTGCTGGGGAAACTGAGGTGCAGAAGGGGGTACAAGGAGGTGCTGCCTCAAGGTCATGGCCAGAGAATTGGAGCTGGGACTGGGGACCCTGGTGGCTGAGTGCCCATCCTGCCACACCCAGCAGAGGCACCAGCCCTGCCTGTCCAGCGGCACCCTGTGGGTCAGACCCTGCCAGGCACTGAGTAGAGTCAGGAACACAGCAGAAACCTCTGTTACAGGCTGAGTGAGAAAAGTTTGGTGGCCACTGACCACATTCCCAACAGTGTAGAACCTTCTGGGTTATTTCAGGGTCTCAGAAGTGGGTGCCTTCTGGAGGGTTTCCTGGGAGACAGGCTTTGGGCATTTTGAGGTGTGCTGGCCGATGAGGGACTAAACTGGCTGCATCAGCCAGGATGCCCTCTTGATCCATGGATGGAAAGTTGCATAAAAGCTGGTCTTTGAGGCAAGCTATGGGACAAGGGCCACCAGTGTCTCTCCATGGGGGTAGCAGCTCTCTGACTGTCCCCTGCCGTCTAGGCAGGACTGTGGGGTCTGGTCCCCTAGGGCTGAGGGCAGGGACCTCAGGGCCTTGCAAGACCTGGCAGGGCCACTGCCTGGTGCCCCCCCAACGCCTGCCTGCTATGCTGGTCACATGTGGGTTTGATTAAGACTCAGTGGCCTCTCAGGGAGCCGGGTGAGCTGTGCTTCCTTGGCCTAAGTTTTCTGGTTTTAGCTTGCAAAGTCTCTGTCCCCAGTGTTGCCTGTCCTTTGTCTGGAAAAAAACAAGAGGATGGAGGGAATATGGGGACGAAGAGAAGGGGTCATGACTGCCCCTGATGTCCCCACTTACCATGGGGACACAGGGCTACAGGCTGGAACGCTGGCTCTGGAAGGAAAGAGGTATCCTCCATCACCACCAGGATCCAGTTCAGGCTGACCACCTTCTGTTGCTGTATGTTGGGACAGACTGCCTGAGAGGACAGCCAGCCACATGGGTAGCCGAGCCAACCCTATAGTGTGTGTGTGTGTGTGTGTGTGTGTGTGTGTGTGTGTAGGGCTCCTCTGGTCCCTGTCTATTCCTTGGGTTCATGTCTGTGGGTGACCCTGGTGGGCATCCCACAGTAGGGCCTGAGGACAGATGACCGCCATGCCCCAGAGCCTTGTCATTGACACAACAAATGGGGGTCTCCGCTGCTGGGGGGGGGATCTTAAGATTCAACGGGTGTTGATAGGTGGTTTGTACAGGGACAATTTCGGGCTGACATCCGAGGGGATTCAGTATGGGGATACAGTCTGGGGAGCTGGCAAGATGGACATCCCATCTTGGTGTGTGATGCAGGATGGGGGCTAATATAAAATGGAGGCAACGGGGTGGGGGGCAGATGCTGGGACCCTGAGCATGAGCATGGGTCACACACAAAAGACTATGAACAGAAGTGGGGGAAGGGTGAACATGTTCCAGAGTACCCATGTCCATGTAGGACATGATGCTTGTATGACTAGGAGGACACATACATGCCAGTCATGCTCTTTGCCACCCGGCCAGCCACACCTGCCCAAAGGTCGTTATGTGATGGTTTCCTGATGGCAGTGGCTTTGCAGGAAAGCCTGGGCACCCACAACGGGGCTTATGGATGGAGCCCTGCACTCACCTGCCCAGGCATCCCCAAAAGCCTCTGTCCAGGTCTGACCATCCCACCCCACTGGACACCCAGCCCTGACCTCTGGGGGGGGTCTTTAGACCTGTTTCCAGCTGTCTCCTGCTAACCGGGACTGACCGGAACACCCCACCCTGGGCATGGACCACTCAGCCATTCTGTGGCCTAGCTGCGTGACTTTTGTCCAGCAGCTCATGCACCTGTATTCACGGAGTCTGCAGTGGCCTGTGGGTTTGCATGTGACTGCATGTTCTCACCCACAACAATGGAGGAACCCAGGATATGTGTCTGCATGGAACTGGCTGCTGCAGTGTGTATGTATGTATGTGATACCAAGCTGCGGTGATTTCATGTGTGCATGTGTATGCATGATTGTGCAAGGGATCGTGTATGTATAGGCTAGAGTGGGGGTGCGCACACAGATCGGCACATGGCATACATGTAAGACTATGTCAGGGCGAGAGCCTCACCCATGTGTGTTCATGGCCGTGTAGTGTGTGCCGAGGGCTAGTGTGGAGATAACTCTGCCCTCCCGGGGCTCATAGTGTGGGCCCAGCAGCCACGGGACCATCCATAGAAGTGGGCTTACCAGTTGCTGACCTTCCCTGCAAACAGGTCATGAGGATCCAAAGCAAACATCACACGAGATGCCCGTTGCCTCCAGATGTCACCCATCTCTGAGACATTGCTGAGCCTGGGCAGGCTCTGGGAATGGAGCAATCTGGTGTCCCATGCCAGGTGACCTCCATGTGAACAGTAATGCTGTCAGTCACCCGCCAAGACACCTGGATAGGAAGATGGTGACCCTGGCCCAGGCCTGGTTTCTGAGGCAGGCACCTTCTCTGTAGCAGAGTGTGCCTGGGTCCTGTCTGTAACTCTGCCAGCCTCAGTGTGCCTGAAGAAGACCTGACCATGTATTTGTCTTTGTGTTTTGCAAGGGATTATGCTCCGAAGGGCAGTGGTGGCACACACCTTTAACCTCAGCAGAGGTAGAGGCAGGTGGATCACCGTGAGTTCAAGGCCAGCCCGGACTATACAGAGAAACCCTGTCTCTAAAAACAAAGAGAGAGAAGAGATTGTTCTCCAAGATTAGGGATGCTCAGAGTACTAGGCAAGGGCCGGAGGATTTGGTTCTAAAGACTTAGTGATTGGCAGAACTATTGAGTGCCTGTGTGGACCTGAAGAATGAGAGAAGATTAAGATGCTCAGGGGGAAACTGAGGCCGCTGCCAGAGACAAGATAAATGCCTTTGATAGTGGATGAGCCAGAAGGACCCATCTGCTAACTGGACGTGAAAGGAGGGGAGGGGGGTTTGCTGTAAATTCAGGCCAGCCTGACCTACATGAAACCTTGCTTCCAAATAAATGAATGGTCTGGGTCTAGGCTCAGTGGGAAGAGCACTCACTCCCTGGGTTCCATCCTTGAACCACATAAACCAGGCATGATGGTGAAGGCCTATCACCCCAACACTGGGGAAGTAGAGGGTCAGAGTCATCTTCGGCTACAGCGAATCAGGGGTTAGCATGGGCTACGTGAGGCCACGTCCTTCCATTTCTTGTCTTCACACAGACTTGGTCTCCAGCCTCTCTTGCAGCCCTCTGGCACCCAGCACCTGTCTTTGAGGGCCTGAAGAGGACCTCATAGGTCCCTGTGTCATGTCTTGGTGGCAGGAAACATGGTCCAGCATCGTCCCAATATGGTCTATAAGCCCCCTCTCTCCCTGTGTCGTCATGTCTAAAGTGAACCCTGGATGGCCATGCATCCTCTGGCTACAGGTCCCCATGTGCCTCTCACCAGCTCACCTGGGTCCCCAGGAGAGAGGTTGGCAAGATCATAGGGTAGAAAGATTCCTTCAAGGAGTGGATGCTGGGGACCAAAACCTTGGTATGAGAAGTCTCAGGGCAGTCATTAACCCCTTCATGACTGTATCTGCATCGACCTGCTTTTCTGTATCTTTAGGCAGAGGGAAGATTCAGGCTTTGTCTTGATTCCACAGAGGTTGTTTTAGGGGTGGGCCCCCCACCTTTCCCAACACCCTTGCAGACACCAGCCGGTGCAAGGGTAAGGTGCTGTCTCCTGGCTACTTATCTACTTGGAACCAGGAATACCAACACAGCAAGGCTGGTGCGATTTTAGAGCCAAAGAGAGAAAAAAGTGGCATATTTCACCAGCATCTGGTGGGGTAGGGGTGCCCCTGGAGTCCTCACCCCACCCACTCTGGAACTGTCCCCTGCTGATCCCAAAGGCCTCCAACCCTTGGCTTTTTACAAAATTCACTTGTTCAAGCAACAAGCATGGATTAAGCACCACTGTATGCAGGGTGTGGGTTGGCCATAGTTACAGAGCAGAACACAGAAAACAACTGCTTAAGGGCACATGCCCCAGGATGGAAGGTCTGCTCTGGGCATGTGCAAAAGCCCTAAGGTAGAGGCAGTACTGTGGAAGAACAGGGTACACAGTACCCAAGGAGTTGCGGCCCAGAGAGACCACGGGTCTTGTTGAGGTGCCTGGGAAAGATTGATGGTGTTGAACCTCTGGGTCTGGAGTCTGGTTTATATTCAGAACCACTGGCCATGGATTTAGGGAGGCCATGTGCTGGCAGATTTTTGCCATGGTCTCCTGAGGACCAGTGTCTGTAATTCTGTTAGTCTGTGAGCAGCGAGTTTTGGGAGGCAGCTGAGTGGATAAGAAAGTTTGCTGTTCACACAGGAAGAACCATGTTCAAATCCCCAGAACCCATGAAGAAGGCTGGGCCTGTCTCTGAGCTGCTAAAACCCTAGTGCTGTCTGAGAGCTAGTTCAGGGTCAGTGAGGGCCCTGTCTTTTCTGTCCTGGTGTGCACATGTACAAACAGACCAGCAAGTGTGGGAAGACGGCTCTGTAGATAAAGTACCTTGCCGAGCTTCTGGACCCAACTGATACCAGCACCCACAGCAGGTGTGGTGGTGTGTATGTGGGGGGGGGGGTCCAAACACTAAAGCGCTGACTGAGAGAGTCACTCTGCAGGTTCTCTTGGAACCTGTCACCAAGGATTACAACTGAATGTGAGGGAAACTGAGACTCCAAGAATCTGAATCATGGCTGAGCCATGAGGAGTGCGTGTGCTTAGGCTAGGGCCTCATGGTTGGTGCATAAGCCTAGGAGCAGCAAGAGTAGTCTTCCCTGCTATTGTTCTTGACGGGTCTTGTGTAGCTCAGGTTAGCCTTGGATTCTTTGTGTGGCTGAAGATGACCTTGAACCCCAGGCCCTCAGCCGCCACAGTGCCTTGCAGTGACACCCCCCCATCCACACCCTCCACCCTGCTCCCAGGATGCACCAATGCACTGGGATGCTCCCTTCCCTGCAGGGAGCTAGGCCTCAGTTTCCCTTGCTGTACTGGGAGGTGAAGGAGCCTCAGGCAGTCCCTCCCACTCCCAGCTACCAGGCTTTTATATGCTAATAAAGGTTCTCAGAGGGCCCCCTCTGCCCGCGTTTACATGACAGGGACCCGGGGGACACTCTGGGAGATCTGAGGGTTCCTGCTGCCTTAGCCTGAGGCAGAGATGGAAGGGGAACTGCTGTCCAACCCCACAGGCCGACCTCCATCCTCTACAAGGCAGCTGGGTCAGGCCGGTCCCCCCCAGAGGACAGCTTGGGGACAGCGGGGTGACTGCCTGGGCTGAGGCTGAAGGCAGGGCTGGGGGGGATTTGATTGGCCAGAAGCCAGGGAACCTAATAGAGAGAGATTGTGCAGCACTCTCTGACATCCCTAGTGTCAGGAGGTAGAGGCAACCCGATTGGGAGTTAGAGTTTATCCCTAGCTACTTTTGGAGTTCAAAGCCAGCCTGGGTTACAAGAGATTCTGTCTCAAAAAGTTGCACAGAAAGGCAAGAAACACCCTGGGGTCACACAGGGTGGAAGGTTGGCTTGATGTCTAGGGGCCTGCAAATGGTTCCTCCCTAGAGGAGGCCGAGGTGGGATCCTGCGCCCTTGCAGGGAAACTAAGGCTGAAACTGGTGTTGGGTGGCAGGGGGTGGTAGGAATGGGGACCTTGTCATTCCATCCTGGCGCTGACTGCTGACCAGCCCTCCCTCTCCAGGTTTCAGGTGGGCGCCCTGGGTGATGGCGGCGGCTACACGGTGGAGGTGAGTATCAATGACTACTTGGACATCTACTGCCCACACTACGGGGCTCCTCTGCCCCCGGCCGAACGCATGGAGCGGTACATCCTGTATATGGTGAACGGCGAGGGCCACGCGTCCTGTGACCACCGGCAACGAGGCTTCAAGCGCTGGGAATGCAACCGGCCTGCAGCACCTGGGGGGCCCCTCAAGTTCTCAGAGAAGTTCCAGCTCTTCACCCCCTTTTCCCTGGGCTTTGAGTTCCGTCCTGGCCATGAGTACTACTACATCTGTGAGTAGCCAAGGCTAGCTAATGGGGAAAATGAGGCAGAGTCTTCCCAACTTTTGTCCAACCCGATGGCCTACAACCCTGGGAGAAGAAGGGGGGTGAGATGGAGGTATCCCCATTTCTGAGTTGTCTCCCAAGAAGGCCCAGTGGGGAATAAGACCTTGGAGCCCCCTGGGGCTGTGGCGGGTCTGGCACCAATACCCAGCCTTCCTGCTGTGTCAAATTAAACTGCTAAACTGCACCAAACCCCATTTCTTCTTTCTCCTCCTTTTAATTCAAAAAATGGGTGGGGATGGGCAGAAGGTGTTGACAATGAAACCTCAGAATATGGGAAAGAAGGTGTTATTTTTCTTTTTGAAATGGGAATCCCGGAAAAGACAATGAGTGTAATGACCCCTTCCATCTCCGAGACAAGTGTTAATTTTTATTTAGTGCTTTTTAATCTTCCCGTTTCAGCATGGGGGATGGGTGACGGTGTTGAACAGGCTATGAGGTGGTGTCCCCTCACCAGGGGTCAGCCCACTGGGCTCCAGGTCTCCCCAGTCCAAGCTCCCATCACAGCTGCTGAGGAGCCACCCTCACATAGCCCAGGATAGACTCAAACTTCACAGGGAGCTGAGGAGGACCTTGAACCCTGTCCCTCTCAGGTCCACCTCTGCCAGGACGGCAGTGTACACCCAGGTATCTGAGTTGTTTATGTAATGTGCACAGCCAAGCTCCGGGAGCCCAGAGGCCGGCCTTGTGTCCTCACTGTCTCCAGGGTCCCTCACTGCACCTGGAGTCTGGCAGGTGAGCCAGGCCACCCTCCTGCCTCTGCTCTGCCTCCTCCACACGTGTGCTATGGATGCAAACACAGGTACCCGTGCTTGCTGTACCCACCTTGGCCCTCAGTTTGTTTTATTTTGTCGTCCTAGGTTGTGTGTTGTGCTGCACGCCTTTAATCCCAGCACTGGGAGGCGGGAGTGTAGTGAGTTTAATAGAGTTCCAGGACAGCCAGGGCTGCAAAAAGAGGCCCTGTCTCAAATCAATAAAGGAGCAAATAAATAAAATCTCACCCTGTCACTGGGCCGAGACATAACTCAGGCTTTGGAGTCAGGCTTGGATGGAGGAAACATGGAAGAGATTTCCAGAGAATCTAGGGCATTGTATCTTGGGTTTTGACACATGCTTATGTGTTTTATGGGTTGGGTCAGCAATGTGGAGAAGGGAGCATGGAGCCCCCAGGAGGTTGCCCTCTCTTCCAGCTGCTACACCTCCCAACCTCGTGGACCGGCCCTGCCTGCGGCTGAAAGTTTATGTGCGTCCAACCAGTGAGTGTCTTTAGGGGCATGGGAAGGACCCAGGTGCCCTCACTTCACCCTTGACCCTGTAAGAGATCCAAAGAGCTGGGGGTCACAGAGTCCTGTCCCAGCAACCCCCCACAAGCCTGGGACCTTTGAGAGTGCCCAGCCCAGTGCAACCTGGCTGACAGCCCTGTTACCTGTGTCCCCACAGATGAGACCCTGTACGAGGCCCCGGAGCCCATCTTCACCAGTAACAGCTCCTGCAGTGGCCTGGGCGGCTGCCACCTCTTCCTCACTACGGTCCCCGTACTGTGGACCCTCCTGGGCTCCTAGTGTCAGGACAAGGACACCAGCCTCACCTGGACCCCTCGACTTGTCCCTCGGACCTGATGCGGCCACCTCTGAGACAAAAATCCTTGCTGCTTCTCTTTCATGGTGCTGTCCCACCAGAGGAGGCCGCCAACCCGCCCCCCGGTCCAATGCCTGAGAGGAGACCCAGACCAAGCCACTTTCTCCATGGTTGCCAGGGAGCTCAAGGCCTCCCAGTGTTGATTTAGTTCAGTCAGGAAGACTTGAGGGTTTTCTTATAATTTAATTTATTCCCTGATATTGCTGGTGACGTTGGGACAAGCTAGCAGGGCCAGTGGGCCAAGGGTCTCCAGCCGTTCCTCTGTGTCCCGCTATTTGGGTCCCAGATGGAGCCCACCAGAGAATTCTCTGACCCGGAAGGGTGCATGGTGCCAGCCCCGCACTGGGGCCCTAGGGGTTCATGTCCCCTTTTGTAGCCACTGTCAAGCCCTCCTCCCTCAACATCTCCTTCAGCCCTCCAATCCACCCCACCACCCGGGCCCCTCCACCAGGCACAACCGGCTCCAGGGCCTGGAAGACATTTTATTTCTGTAAATAGAAACCAGCAAATGTGTACTGTGATTTATTTTAATGTATTCTTGAGGACGGAATGGAAGTTGTTTTAAAAAAAAATTTTTTTTTCCAGACCTTCAATTCGAGGGGACTTTTATTTTGGTTGGGGAGAAGTGGGGTGGACGTTTTTTAGGATAGAAACAACACTTGGCAATAAACTCATTTTTTTTTTTTTTTTTTTTTTTTTTTTTTTTTTGGTCCGTTGGAGCCCTCCCCACCTCGATCAGTCATGTGACCTAGTAATGTTTGTAAGAAAAAAAAAGCCAAAAAAAAAAAAAAAAAAAAAAAAAAAGGACGGGACTGAAAAGGAAGGGAGCTACCTACCAAAAATACAGAAAGAGCAAAGGACCGAGTGAAGCTGGCAACACACACGTTTCTACGGATTTCGGATTTCTACCCACCTTTCCTCACTCTGTGTTTTATATATATTCTATATAAATATATATTGTGGATGGCCACCATGGCAAGGGGTGGCTGGGGGGGCTTTTGTAGGGGTGGGGGGGGACGGGTGGCCCTGGCCCCCTCATCAATCAGCTTTGAAGTCTGTATTTTTTTATAATAAAATGGACAAACTGTAAGGTGTGGATCTCCCTCTGTTAGGGGTGTGTTAAAATTTGGAACAGTTGTGGGGGCTCTGGGGAGTCCCTTGCTTGGGAACACAGTCTCTTCGACTTCCTGTCTGATCTCAGGATACTTGGGGATTAGCAGGTAGGAGGCTAGCTTCTTAGGGATCACCGACTCTGGCAAAAGCCTGGATTGACTGTGCTCTCCTGTCAGGGCAGCATGCCGGCACAGAGAGGGAGAGCAAGAGGAGTAAGCTTGGTGTACACAGGCAAACAAAAGGCTGTCTCTACATGGCTGGCAGGAGATGAGCCTGGCACCGACCCCACCACACACATACATACACAATAAATGAACAGTCTGAGACATCTCCATCACCAGACTGTGACTCAGTTTCCCGTGTGGGGGCCATGGTGATGTTCATTTCTGTCTGTGTGTGGGAAGGGAGACCTGGGGTTCTGCAGCTCAGCACTGTTTGGGATTGCCGACAGGCTTGGGAGTCATCAGTGACAGGTGATCTGACAGAGAGCCTGGGATCCCACTAATGGCCCCTCGCCTGCATGTCACCTGTGGCGACTGCATTTGGGCACAATTAGCCGGCGAGAGGCAATGCTCTGAGCCCATTAATTCAGCCGCTCTGGGCCCTGCAACGGGGGCTGCTTCCTAATGAGGCCGGTGGACCATACAAAGGGCCTTGTGTCCACAACAGCCCTGCATAGCGGAAGGCGGGCCAACCAGTAGATGCTGCCTTGGGGAGGCCTGGCTGCACTGAAGATGAGCCCACCCAGACACCCCCACCTGGCCACCTGGACCAGGGTGCTGCAGCCCGGCTGCAGCAATTGGTAGGTGTTAAAGAAACAACACCAGCAAAGAGCCAGGGTTGGTGGCCAGCACTCAGGAGGTAGAGGCATGAGGATCTCTGAGGTCAAGGCCAGCATGGGCTATAGTGTGAGCCACTGTAGAAGGGAGGAAAAAAGACTGAGGGCCCCAGAGATGGCTCAGTGGGTAAATCTGCTGCACACTGAGGACCCAAGTTCAAGCCCCAGAATCCATGGAAAAAGCTGGAGGCCATGCAAATTTATAACCCAGGGCTGGGACCAGGATACAGCGATCCAAGTGACACAGATGAATCCTAGGGCAGGCTATTCATGCTGATGTCCAGCCTGGGACAGGTGCAGGTACATCCAAGGCCGGACACTCGGCAGATCAATGCCAGGCTCCCCTGAGCTGTGACCATTGTCCCCATCCAGTACACCCCACCCAGTGGAGTCCTGCAGTCTCCAGAGCTGTGGTGGCATCGGTATGCTAGTCCTGTGTCTGCATCTTTTCCGCCCAAAGCTTCCAGAGAGAAGCAATCTCTCTCCCGCGGTCCTTTTTACTGCTGCCTCGGTAGCTGTGGGCAGGGGGTGGTGGCATGGGGGACAGCAAGACTCGAGGTTCCCAGGGACCCTGATGATGGCTCTGGCCCCTCAGCTCTCAACAGAAGGAAAGCAACATCTGCTCCTTCCAGCCTCCCAAGTGAAAGCTATGCATGCCTTTTTATTCCTTTTTTTTTTTTGGGAGGGGGCAAGGTCTCACATAGCCCAGGCTGCCCTTGCTATGTAGCCCAGGATAACCTTGAACTTTGGATCCTCCTCCCAAGTGCTGGGATAGCAGGTGTGCCAAGTCCTGCTTGATTTCTTTTTCTTTCTTTTTCTTTTTTCTTTTTTCTTTCTTTTTTTTTTTTTATTTTATGTAACTAATTCTCCTTTGTCTAGATTTTTCTTTTTAGACTTCTGCCCCAAGGATGAAGATCCAGGGCTGTCTTAATCCCTGCCTGTCTCTGCCACCTAGAATGCACTTGGTACACAGTGGGCACTCAATCAATGTCCATTGACTGAGTAAATAAATGTTGTATATGTTTATGCAAATAAAGCTACATGAACAAAAAGAAAGGACAAAAGAGTGTCAAATATAAATTGCACTGGGGAGGCTGAGAAAGGAGGATGGAGTTTGAGATCAGTCTTGACTACATAGCAGAGGAAACCTAAAAAAAAAAAGACCTTCGCATGAAAAACATTAAAAAGTTAAAGCGAATAAATAGAAAATGCCATCCCTCATGTCAAGGGCAGAGCCTCCCCTGTATACACTGACATTACTAGGCTCCTCCTCCATCTTGGCACCTGGCGGGACCTCCCACTGTCCTGGGATGCAGCTGGGACATCCCTGCCCTTAAGCCATGCTAAAGGGGGACACCCGCACACAGCCTGGAGACACTGGGGAACAATGGATCAGAGAGATGACACAAGGCGGAAATTAACCAGACACAATTATCCCGAGTAGCTGTGGGGACATCCACAGACCTGGGAGCCTCAGCCCTCTGGTCCTCAGGTTTCCTACAGGGGATGCTGGTCTCAGTGGAGGTGATCAACAATTGAGGTGGGGGCATGGCCTTATGGAGGGTGGAGCCTGAGGGACTGGATGTCATGAGAGAGGGCAGAGCCTCCCCTGTATACACTGACATTACTAGGCTCCTCCTCCATCTTGGCACCTGGCGGGACCTCCCACTGTCCTGGGATGCAGCTGGGACATCCCTGCCCTTAAGCCATGCTAAAGCTCACATGTAGGGTGGGGGGGTATGGTCCAAGAAGGGTGGGTCTTGTGGCTCAGTCAGGGATCAGAGTCCTCCTGGAGACCCTGCAGGTGTGTAGGGAAGCTGCACCCCACAACCCTGGGTGGACAGTGTTTCTGGGGCTTCACCATGCCACAAGCAAATGTTTCTGTTTCTGTTGAGGTCAGGGAGGGAGGGAGGTGGTGAGGTGATGGGACTCTAGGCTGGAGACCAGAGACTTAGTGGGACATGCACTCCTGGAACCCCTCTGGCTGGATAGGGTCAGAGCCCCATCCTGAGATTCCCCACCTTTACCTTATGCACTTAACTGGCTCACAAACCAGGGCTGAGAAAGGGAGGGAACCCCATCTGGGTCCCCTAGGGAGTGTCCACCCCAGGCTCTCCTAGCCCATCAATGAAAAATGTAGGCCTAGAAGCCCAGAAGGGAAGGCTCAGTTGGCCGTATGTGCAGTGTGAGCAATGGGAAGGACGCTGGGCAATGGAGACACTGAGGCCTCTCTTGGGCCCCATGCGCTCAGGCTCCCTTCCTTCCCTGCAGTGCTGGGCCCCTCTGGCCTTTCTCCATCATTGCCTTTGGGGAGATAAAATTCTACCCCAGTCCTGCTCCCACAGTGGGCCTAACTCCTTGGGATGAGGGAATCTTCCAGCACACCTTTAATCCCAGCACAGGGGCAGGTGGATCTCTTGAGTTCAAGGCCAGCCTGGTCTATAGAGTGAGTTCCAAGACAGCTAGGGCTACACAGAGAGACCCTGTCTTGGAAAACAAAAACAATCAAAATTATGTCTAGTTTTTGGTGCTTGTTGAGCTAGCCTCTTCTCCCAGGGGAAGAGATGGTTGCTTTTCCTGCTAGGCCTCAGTTTACTCATCTGTACCACAGGATTGACCTGTTTTATAGTTGATTAAGGAAGGATAGATCATCCCCAGGCTCCATGTGGGGACCCTACTAATGGCTTGTGGGTGTAGTGGGCCCTAGAGATGCCAGCCTGGGGGGAATCTCAGCTCTTACCTAGCACCTAGGATCCTTCAGGCCAGTTTGGGGAGCTCAGTGGTATGGGACAGCCTTCAAGGGTAATTTCTCCAGCAGAATGGGAGCTGGGGTCACTGTGGGATTGCCAGGGAATCTGGAGTGTTTGGAGAGCCTGCTGGTGGTCCTGGTAGGATTGAGGCTACATGTGTTCCTGTGGCGGTTGAACCTCCACACGTAGCTTCTGTCAACCGCTGCCAAGCTAAAGTTAAGGCCATGTGTCACTCACTCCTGCCCTGTGTCAATGACAGCTAGGTCCCCACACACTGGAGCAATATTAATGTCATTTATCAAACATAAGCAGGCCTGTGGCTCAGCAGCCATGTCTGTGGCTATATGGAGAAACTGAGGAACAGAGATGTGT